TATATATATATATATATATATATATATATATATATATATATATATATTTTTAAAAAATTGTGACAAATTCTTGAAAAAGTTTCATTTGCTGTAAATCAGAAACCATTCACGAGTTGTTCAAGAAAAATGATCATTTCTACCACTAACTTAGGGGAATAGATACAAAAATGTCGAATTTAAACTAATCTATATCTATAATTCTCAAAATGTGAATATGTCTGTCTGTGTGTATGTCTGTCTTGTAAATGTCTGTCTGTGTAAAATCGGATGTTGTTTATACGTTTCCACAGTTTTCAGCCGATTTCGATGAAATTTTTTTGTGTTTTATAGATAATTCTTCAGTGACGGTTTTGGGTCCAAATTGGCTGAAAAAAATTAGAAACTTGAAGGTGAAAAATCAAAAAAACTGATTTTTTTATACTTTGCGCAAAAATCGAAGGCAAAATATAATGTCTGTAAAAAAACAGCGTACAATCAGTTTAGAGAGTTGAAATCTAACGCAAAAGATTATTAGAATTATTAAAAAAATATCTATTATAAATAAGAATTATCGCATATTATTATTATGACGGTCCATAGAAGAGGTTCCTTCCTTGCAAGATTGAGAACGCAAAAATGGCGATTTTCAGCCCCCGCCACCACCATTCAAATTGTTAACCCCCCGCCATTTGGGGATGTGCCTCAGTTGCACCAAATTGCTGTTACTAATATTGATTTTCGGGTAGGCTGACTTTAAACTTAAATTGCTCCAATTGAACAGACTAAATTTCCAGTAATGAAACACTCGATCGAAGACGGTTTAGACTGCTAGTTTATTAATAAAGTTAAATTTATTTGAAACATTTCTATTAAATACGGAGGAATGAATTTAAATTTAAGCTTATATTCGAATCCATGAAGGAAAACGTTAATTTTTAGAGAATGAAAGTTCACGGTAATTTTTATTAATTACTGGGAAACGCGAAAAATTGAAAGGAATTCGAAACGAATTTGAGAGTTGCTTATTTAGTAATATTCAGAATTTAATAATTAAAATAAAGTAACATTTAATGCATGCACATGTTTGAGTAGAAATCACTGATTATTTAAAATAATAAATTGACAACGAGCGGCGACTGTAATCGAAAGGCTTATTAAAAGAATGCGACCCTCAGAAAGGATCGAACCAGTGTTTCCTATTTAAGCTGGGAAAACCACCTTGAAAATAGACGTGCTTTAACCGCTCAGACACGTGAGAGCTCACAGCAAAGCAAAGCTAAATTACAACAATGAGAAAATTTTTTGGTTTAAAAAATATATATTATTTATATATATATATATATATATATATATATATATATATATATATATATATATATATATATATATATCAATATATATATATAAATTAATTAATGATATTTTATTTTAAGAATATAATTAAAAATTAAATCAAATTAATTTTAAAATTTAATAAAATTGAATTTGGAGTTTTTAAAAAATGTTTTTTGAAACATGGTAATTCCTGTGTAGCGATGAAATTTATTTTTAAAAAAAGTTAACATATATATATATATATATATATATATGTATATAAATAAGTTGAAAAGAAACAGTAAGATATAAAATCCGGTGTTCTTATAGATATTTTATTTTACACAAAAATTGGAAAAAAAAAAATTTAAATCAAAATTTATAATAATATATATATATATATATATATATAAATATATATATATATATATATATATTTTTAATTGCATATATATATGTATATATATATATGTTAACTGATTTCAAAATACAGTATTTGATGAATACTGTATTTTTAAATGGATATATTTATATATATATATATATATATATATATATATATATTGGCTATTAATTGAAAATAAAATTTTATATATATATATATATATATATATTTTAATGATTTTAAATATATTTTATCTGATATATATATATATATATATATATATATATATAATATATATATATATATATATATATATATATATATATATATATATATATATATATTTATTTGTTAAATGATTTAAAAAATACGGTTTCATCGTTACACAGGAATTACCATGTTTAAAAAAACAGAAACCAACAACTTCAAATTCAAGTATATTAATTTAAATGCATTAATTCTCATTTTATCTTCTTCAGGTTTTTTGGATCGAAAGAGACTTTGAAGATGAAGCAGAATTAAATCGTTTTTTTTTTAATTTTAACTGCATTTTTTATTACTTCCGACATTATTATATATGTCAGTTATCAGTTATCTCCTGTTAATTCCCCTCGCAAAGATATGAATACTAAAACTGTTGTAAAAACGTAAATAAATTGCAGTTTTGTGACAATTGTAGGAAGCTGTTAATTCTAAAGCTTGTTTTTGGCACAAGGCCAAGCATACAAGGTCTTCCAATGAGGATCGAACCCGCATTAGTAACAATTTATTCATCTAGCTTGTTGACCATTAAATTATGCTGGTTTACCTACGAGTAGCAGAACTTTATTTACTATATTAAATGTAACAGACAAAAACGTTATACTTGAAAGAGAGATGTAAATAAGTTTAGAATTTAGAGATAATTTCCAGTCACAAAAATTAAATGTTTTTTCCAGGTTTGATCAAAAACGAAAGTCCTAAAAAAAAAAAAAAAACCTGGAAAGAAAACCGAAGTTTCGTAGAAAAACTGACACCTCGTTCATCATTTGCATAATTTTCTAAATTCTAACAGTAAGTTAACATCAACCGCAAATATTTGGCAATTAAAAACATTATCGTTAATAATCTGTTGCTAAAAACACACTAAAATCGACAACATTACAGATATATTAAAATAAACAGTAACAAAATAAAGTGTAAAATAACAAATAAAATTAGCAATTCTTATTATGTCTTACACACGCATGCGCGTGCACACACATATACAGATATATATATATATGTGTGTGTGAATGTGAATGGATAAACATAATATATTTAGGTACCAAGCCTTCACTAAAACATCTTTTATTAAATATAATGGATAAGGAATGTGTGTTAAGTGTTTGGGCGAGTGGCTTCTGGTGTTAAGTATTTTTCTGAAAATTTGTAAAGGAATTTGCATAATTTATGTGCATTGCTCCAAGTACTTTGGCCATCTCTTGTTATTTTCAAGGTAAGAAGTGAGAAGGAGAGTCAAAACTGAATGAGTGTTTATGCTGTCAGCCATCCGGAATTTGAATATGAATTTTCGATTACATTCGCTATGGTGGATAAAGTAACTTCTCGCGTGACGTGAACATAACTTCATTTCGGCTACATTATTTTTGGCAGTTATTTTTTGTTTGAAAGTTTAATATTATTTTTTGTTGCTAAATTTTTTTTTTTTTTTTAATGAGTAGGTTTTCTATTTTCAAGGACCATCTGTTATTCCAACAAATACGTATTCTGGGGATCAGTACATTGCTCTACAATTACAGATGGAGGTTATTTTTTATTATTTTTTATTTTTTTTAAGCATTTCACCCCAAGCAAGGCGGAAAGCCACTAGCACGCAAGGGGTTACAGAGAGTTGGAGCGAGAGCAAAGAGGAGTGATAGAGGAAAGGATGAAGAGAAGGATAGGGGATAGATCAAGGCATCTGGAGACGTCGATTGACATTACATTTGAATAGTTGGAGATTATAGCTATCAGGGAAACAGGAAAAGGGGAGGGAGTTGCACAGTCGAGAAGTACGAGACATGAAGCTATTGGAGTAGAAGAAACGGCTACATTTAACAGTTTCGACAGTGAAAGGGTGAGAAAGAGATGCCAGCCTAGTTGAACGCTTAAATTCATGAAGTCTGGGAACCAGCGAAAGCAGCTCATCGTAGCAGTTACCATGAAAGTATTTGTAAAAAAGACAGAGGGAGGCGACGGCACGTCTGTGAGAGAGCGACAGCAGACGAGATGCCAGATCAGGGCCAATTATATTGCATATCCGTCTTTGGATTTTATCAAGAACCTTGAGACAAACAGATGTGGCTCCAGACTATATATGGCAGCAATACTCCATGCAAGGGCGAATGGTGGATTTGTAGATTTGAAGGATCGACGAGAAAAATTTCCTGGCGCGGCCCAGGGAGCCAACTTTCCTTGCGGTGGACAAAGCTATTGACTCAATGTATTTGTTCCATTTCAGGTCAGCAGTCAATGTGAGACCGAGCAGTCGAAAAGAGGTGTTCTCGTGGAGTTGAGCGTCAGACATTCTAATGGGAGGGGGGCAGAAAATGGTTCTCTGTGGTGAGTAATAGAGAGCAGTTTTGTTTTTGAGGCATTAAAGTTAACCAGCCAAACCCTGCCCCAGTTCACAACCCATTGAAGGTTCTTTTTAAGACAAACGGCCAGGTTAGTTTTGTCAGTGACACTAGATTTGTGGATTGTTTTAATGTAAGCTTTTATCAGTTTTCTCCTTTTTTGGGGTGGGGAGGTAATTTTTATAATGTTTTATAATTTCTAGCATGTTTTCAGCGCAGCTGTATAATAGGATGGAGTAATGGTTAGTGGCTTGGATATAGATGGAGTAATGGTTAGTGGCTTGGATTGAGGAATCGGAGAGCCGAGTTTGAATTCCAGTCGAATCCATTACATTCACTTGCGTGCTAATACCCTTGGGAAAGGTGTGAATCCTCTTCTTCTCCCTCCATCTATGGGTCAAACTGGTTTCTATTGACTTGGATGGCAACTGCTCTAGGAGAAGGAAAACTCTGAATTCAAACCCGGAGTGGATCCCCTAAGGCGGATGGACGGCACTTTGTTCTACCTTCCGGCAACTCCTGCAGCTGTGCTGGTACCAAACTGTATTGGTTTATCCTTTCCTTTCGACTCTGCTAACAAAGCCGAGAGGGGTAACTAGACGTCCAGGCTGCCCTATTTCTCCATATATCCCGTCCAGGCTCGTAGCGCATCGCGCTGCTCCATCGTCTCATGAGACGGACGGATGCCGGCGATATAGCTAAATTTTAGGATATGTTAAATATATTAAGCAATAAGCTTTATTCCGGGAAGTGTCTGTTCGTGTGATTGATGACTATTTTACATCTATTTGTTTTTACTTTTTTTATTGCGTGATTTGTTCAATCATATGATACATTGTTTTCAATTGTATTTTTGTCTTATTTTGTGCGAATGCCAGTTTTATCACAATCGCCGATACTGAACACTCTTCTTTTACGTGTCCCTTCAGAAGGTGATGAATCATGGTTCTCCACAGCTTCCTATCCTTTGTAGCTCTTAACAATGTCTGTTTTTTTTATTTTTTACTTTGTTCTGTCATCCCATTTACACAAGTTCCATAGCTATGTTACTCGCCGTTTACCACTTTCTCTCTCTTATCTTCAATCTAAAAAAAAGTATCAAATTCTCCGAGCTCTCCTTCCTCATTATGTGCTCCAAAATTTCAACAGTACTTTTTTCGGATTCCAAGTATCAGTGTCCTTTTTTTGTTTACATTTTCCTTAAAATTTTCTGTTTTTCTAATATTTTTGAAATTCATGAAGAGCCAATAAATCAAACAAATTATATTTGGAAGATTATGGCAAAAGCCAAAAATCTGCTCATCATGGAAGTTCAAGAGAGTAATTTGGCATGGATATAGACACAACGTGTTTACTGTCAGATGTAGTTGCATAAATGTTGACGAGGACATTGCTAGAGGTTCGAAGTCGGGCATTTAACTTTTTTAAACCTAAAATTTTCATATTAGACCTCCATCTAATATAATCTACATCTTCATTATATATCAATATCTATCTACAGTTTTGTTATTTGAAAGTCTGTACAAAAAATTATCTATCTATTCTATCTATCTATCTATCTATCTATCTATCTATAAATAAATCAGTTTTTTTCAAAAATTCATTAAAACACAAATCTCTTTCTAAATCATCTAAATATCTATCACTCACTATCATCTATCTATCTATTTATTTTTACAATATATTTATCTAAAATATCTATCTATCTGTCAGATATTATCTAATATCTATTTATCTATCATTAAAATCTATCTTTTCTATTTTCTATATCTATCTATTATCTATCTAATCTATATCTATCTCTAAATATCATATCATATCTATATCTATCTATCTATCTATCTATCTAAATCTATCTATCTATCTATCTATTTATTTATTTTTATTTATCGCTTTATTTACCTATGTATATTGACATTTTAGTAGATTTTATCATGTTTTTTTTCAATCTCTGCAAATATTTGCTTGACAGTTTGTTTCACCTGGCGTTGCTTAGCAACGATTCAAGGATTTATGAAGGGCCGTTTTACTTGGATCGCTTATATCCTTGCAGGCTGTTTTGTCCCTGGGGCTTAAAAACATTTCCAGCTGACATTTTTTTACCGTCCTTCCAATATTCATAAGGGCACGGCTCATGACTTAGCAAGTAAAGACGACCGTATCTTATCTGGTCAATGTGCAGAAATATTGTCTTGAACAAGTTTCTTGCGCCTCAAAAAAAAATCTCTCAAAAGATAGATAGATAGATAGATAGATAGATAGATAGATAGATAGATTGATAGATAATGAAAATGAACTGATGATAATGAAGATTGAAAATGATGTATATATATATATATATATATATATATATATATATATATATATATTTATACCACACACATATATATATATATATATATATATATATATATAGATAAATAGATAGATAGATAGATAGATAGAAAGATAGAAGAAGTTGATGAAATAAATAATGAAAAAATGAAATTTATATATAATAAATATATATATATATATATATATATTTATATATATATATATATATATAAGAAAAAAATAAAATAATGAACTTTTTTATTGAGGAATTTTTAGAAGAATAAAAAAATAAAAAAATATATATATATATATATATATATATATATATATATATATATATATAGAGAGAGAGAGAAAGAAAGATAGATAGATAGATAGATAGATAGATAGATAGATAGATATAAGATAGATAAAAGCTGTTTTGGAAAATAAAAAGTTCGTTTCATCGTTCTCTCGGTGTTGCTCTTTTTCACGCACACACACATGCATATACACACACACACACGCACAGACATTAATAAATAAATTTAAAATGAACGTGAAACATTCAAATAAAGACACATATTTGAATGATTTAAATCACAGAACATACACACACACACACACACACACATAAAACTAAAAATGTTCACCAGTTTCACTGGGTTCATGAATCTTAATTTTTTCTCGTAACTAAAATAAAAAAAATAGAATAAAAAACAAATAAGGAATAAAAATTTTAAAATTAGATAAATTTAGAATTTTTTTTTAAAAACATTTACGCAAAAAATTGAAATTTTATTTTTTTGGATTTTTTTTTTTTGTTTATTCTCTGATTTCAAATAATTCATCGCAGACTTTTAAAAATCCTTAAATTCAGGAATCATATCTCTTGAAATTCTTAAATTTGTTGTTGTTGAAAATATGTTTATTTTAAAAATCTTATCTAACTGTAAAGCACTGTCAATTTCTCACAAATTTAATATAGTTCATCAAAAAAAAAATTATATAAAAAATTTTAGTAAATATTTTTTGTAGACATTTTAAAAAATAAAATTAACAGATAGAATTGAGAAGAATTATTTCTCCTTTTTACAAAATGCAAATCCCACTTTTTTGTGGCGTGGGTGGAGAAATATTCGTGTGTTTTTTTGGTTTAATGTTTTTTTTCAGTTGCTCAATCATTTCCTCATATTTTTATTTTTCTGTACGATGAAAATATTTTTATTTTCTTGAAAAATAGAATGTTAAAATCAAGGCTTAAAATTGATTGAAATTTTTAATAAAAGTTTAAATTTCTTTTTAAAACTTGAAAACAATGTGATTATTTTCTAATTAATATTGTTTGCATTTTACAGATTAAAGTACAACACTGACTGCTGGAAAATAAGGAAAGTGTTCTGGTCTGTTTAGGGGCCAGAAGGAAGACACGGAAGACGAACGTCAGTTGAATAAAGTATATTGAAGATATATAGAAAACAATAGTGTTAGTAATAAGTAGATTGAGTCTATTTTCACTTTGTTTATTCACCCTCTTCTCATCCGATAAAAAAATCGCAGTTTGTATTTATGAGAGGAGGAAAGATTGAATTTATACTAAATATAAGGGTTTACCATAACATAAATATTTAAATATATATATATATATATATATATATATATATATTATAAAAATGTTTCATTAAATAATATAATACATATAAATAATATAGACAAGTTTTGTCGATTTATTTTAAATAAGTTCCTTTCATACACGAGTTAGTCGTTGCTTTGAAATTTTCCCCGCAGCAAAAAAAAAATATCATTATTGTTTCGTCCGTGTATTGGTTGATATATTGAAAAGTAATTGCCATCTTTGATAATGTTTATATATTTAAATAAAAGTTTAAGATTGGATTTAAACATATCAGAAATGGTGATTTCCTTTCGTCTTTCAATGATAATGTTCTTTTATCAGACAATATGAAAAGAACTTAAAATAAATAGACAAAACTTGTCTATATTATTTAATGAAACATGCATTAATGAAAAATTGCTGCCTAAATGTTATGGCCTGTTTAGGGGCCAGAAAAAAAGACACGGAAGACACGGTTGAAAAAGTATATTGAAGATATATACAAAACAATAGTGTAAAGTAGATTAGCACTGCGTCTACTATAAACAATTTTCTCAAATCAATATTTATTACGTACAAGTAGACTAATAATTTTGGCACAAAGGCCGAAAAGGGGGGATTAAGGCTGGTCCACACTAACTATCTTATAAAATATTTTAATCCGATTCACGATCCATTCATACATTTAAATTTCCACATTCACCTTAACAAGAACTCATCCATCACCAAACAATCCTAATTATTCATATTAACCATATTAAAATCCTCTAGCTTTTGACCAAAACGATTGATGTACATAAAATTTAATGATGAAATAAAAATATATAAAAAATCTATGATGAAAATGAGAGGGGAGGAAGATGGACTTTTTTAATAAAATAAATATCAACACAAATCAAATTAATTGATGTTAGTAGGGAAATTCCATTATTCAAAACAGAGAGGCCACTGTATTCTGCCCATTGGACAAAATCAAGCATTTTTTTGCTAAAAATGGGAAAAGTAATAAAAAATCATACGGGCATGGTATATATATATGACCCAGTCGAGATAGTGGGGGTAAAAAAAACAAACTGTAAGAGGTTGGGAATCTCAGAATGGATCATAAAAAAAAAGTGGCCAAAAAATTTTAAAGGGGAACAAAACTTAAAACATTATTTAGTTACATTTGAATTGTCTAATTCCTAACCAATTTTAAGGAAACCATCCTGATGTAATATTAAACATTTTGATAAAAAACACTTCTCTCTCTGGTATACTCTCGCAATTTGTATTTATGAGAGGTGGAGATAGTCAGTTATACTGTAAGGGGTTTACCACAACAGAAAGACTGAAATGGAAGATGAAGATAGAAAATAAAGTCATGTTTTCTCTGACTTAACTTCTTTTACAACGGAAATATAAATTTTTAAAAACTTTTCACATGGTAAATGTTATTCAACTTCGATTCAAATTATTGTGTAAAATGTTTGCACATATGATTGAAATTTAGATTCTCTGGCAATAAGCTATAATCACAGCGATAAATCCTCGAATAGATTCATAGAAAAACATCATGAAATCGGGTAAAATTAATTACAAATCTTCCAAGGTACGGAAAAAAACCTCGTGGCAGATTTGCCAAAAGATCTCTTATGAGGCGTCCAGAAAGTTAGCTTCATCGATATATATAAAACAGAGCATGTCTGTGTGTTTATGTGTCTGCCTGTCTGTTTAATATCGTTTCACTCTAGATCCATCAAACCGATTTTGACCAAACTTGGCACATACATTGTACCATGAAAGAGATAGATTTCTAGCGTTAAAAAATCGACAATTTAAACAAATTAATAATCAACGAAGCCGATCAAAAATCGATAAATTCAACTTTTTCTCCCCGATTTCGTTCAGACCCGGTATATAGGTTACTTACATCATGACGAGCTCAACGATACCTGATTTTTATTTTTACGCCACTGCGTTTAGTGAAAAAACAGCGAAAATCGAAAAATCGATTTCAACACAAATTTTAAACTAAAAACTCCTTCAAATTTCAGGCGATCTCATACAAACTTCACTCAATTGTAGCCAACAATAATCTGATTATTTAGCAGTCATTTAACTTGATAATTGAACCCACTCATATAGTGAAAAACCGCGTAAATAGCGAAAAATGGTGATTTTTATTGATTTCTTTTTTATTTCTTGTTGATCTTTCAACCGATTTTTATCAAACTTAACAATTGCTTTATAAATGTATACTCTTCTACATCCCTGGTAGCACACTGACAAATTGAATTTCAAAAACTACAAAATAATTGTGGACTGAATTGGGTCTTCATGTTGTATGTTTTATCCTTTCATATCATCGTCTAACTTCGATTGAATAAATACAGACTACTTCTGTTATATCAGTAATTGCATTAATTCAAAATGTTTTTAATGAATGTACTTTAAAGTAATAGATAGACTCTGTTACATGATGCTGTTTTTGCTCCATTTTAATTGAACACTTTTTCTGATCGACCAGTTAGATATGGCTGCTAGTAAATAATATTTTTGTCGTAAATATCATTGGATTAGGAAGTATGAAATTAGCTTTTAATTTAGTGAGTTTTCATTTGGTGAACGACTTTAATTTATGAATGACTTGCACTCTACAATGAACATGCATATAATGTGGTTTATGTCG